GAAATACTATTTTCCATTGAATTTCACTGATCACTACTGAAGTTAAAAATATCACCATACATTTAGTATCCATGAATTCTTCACTTTTTATTTTGGCTTAGTTAAAAATTTCGGTTTCTTTTCTTGGTGAATAATGGGAACTCTTTATGTATCGGTGATTATGAGCCTTTGATTTTTTTTTAATATTTCATTGAAGTGTGGTATTTTGCCTTTTAAAACCAGGTATAGAATTATTTAGGAAACATAATTTCTGAGTTTTACACCTTAAGCCTTTTCATAATTTTATATTTTATGTTATGCTTGATAAAACCTTTCATGCATAAAGATTGTAAAGATATTCTATGTTTATGTAGTACTTATATTTGCTCATAAATTTGGATTTCTGGTCCATCTTAAATTGATTTTGTGTGTTAGGTTGAGGTATAAATCTAATTTGAGAAAATGACTTCTTCAAATGAAAATCCAACCAAATTTATTGTTTGCCTGTAGTCAAAATCAACTGCCCAGAATTATGACTCAGATTCAGATGTCTAGTGAGGAATGATGGAATAGATCTGATGCATTGTCTCACATCTCTATCTGGGTTCCAGAGAGAGAACAATATTGTTCCCATTTAACCTATTTAGTTTAGAATCAGTTGTTAGATCCCATAGGTCTTAATCTCCATATACCTAACAGAGTGCCATACAAATAGCATTGCTTAAAAATATTGTTGATTTAAAGAAGAAACTAGAAAAAGGACTATACATTATAACACTTTGTAAAGTTAACAGAGTGGAATATGATCTGCTCTAATTATTTTAAAATAGACTAAGAATGATGGAAGAAGAACAAAACACAGGTAAATCTTAGGCTTATTTTTTTTCGTTTTCATGACAAAGTATTTAGGACATTTTAAGATGATGTATGCAAATCATTTAGCCCAGTGTCTGCATATAGTAGGTTCTCATTATTGGTAATTAGAAAATAATTATTATTATTTCAGGGTTCCAATGGAGACAAATAATTATCTCCTGTAAAAATCATTAAGTTTTTGAGGTTTCATCTATGAAAGAAGCTAAACACACTATTAAGTTCAGAATTTTATTGCTTTCTCATTATTTAGTTTTATTTTATTTTCTCATCTTTGGTACTGAAGAGGGGTTGAATCCAGGTGTGCTTAACTACTAAGCCATATCCCTAGCTCTTTATAGTCTTTATTTCAAGACAGTTTGCTTAGGCCCTCACTACGTTGCTGAGACTGGCTTCAAACTCACAATCTTTCTCCATCAGTGACTCAAGTCCCTACGATGACAGTTATGTGCCACCATTCCTGATTCAGGTACCTATGATTTTTTTTAACACTATAGCTAAAAAAGGAATTAAAGTCTCATGTGTTACTGACATTGATAGTTGCTTCATAAAACTAGACATAAGAAGCTTGAATAAATTAAGGAAAGAGATGGTTGGACATTCATGGGCATTCTGAGCTATGCCTCCTGAGCTCAAACATGGTCTACCTAAGTATGTATATACTAAATCTAGACCAAAGTCTACATGCTTAATAGACCAAAGTCTACTACATGCTCAGTCTAAGTCTTGACCAAAGTAGAGATGGAACTAATTTATGAAAGACTATAAATTTAAAAGCCAAATGTTAGGACAAATCAATGGGAAGAATAAATTTGAAGTGTCTAAAATAAACACCTTTGATTTGGTGGCCATTTAAACCTTTTGGGTTTGGGGAAATCACTGATGTAGCACTTTAAGGGGATTTGACTTTATAGGCTCCTCAGCCCAAGAGTTTTTAAGAATACAAAAAACACCAGGGCCTTGAAGATAAGACAGGCATCGGGCTGTCACTGTGAAACTGCTTTGCTTTTAAACAGCTTGTTCCCAAGTTTGAATCCATAATCCACTGGTAGAAAAGCTTTAGATTTGCTGGCAAAGATGAAAGGTGCTCAGAAGCTCTTCCCTCATAATAGAAATTCACAGATAAGTGCACTATGGAAGTTTAGACCCTGACTTAAAGGGAACTGGAGAATTGAATTGAGATAATTATCTTGCTAATATTGGACAAGATTAAAGTTCACCTTTAAAGAGTCAGATCATTAAGGTAGAAGTGCAGACTCTCATTCCCTTACATGATAAGGAGAAAAGAAGGTACTAACATTGTGAGGCTTTACTTAAAATATTAAAATTTTGAAATTTTAATTTAAATATTTAAAATGTGGAGAAACTCAAGAACTTGGAAAATAGCAAAAAAAAAAGTACCCATATATGACATTTTAAAAATAAATAAATAAATTTACAAACAAGCAACAACAACAACAAAGAAAACCCCTTCTCTTTCTTTCTTTGTGTTTTTCATACAGAATAAGAGGCCTTGCATTTTCCTTTGGTATTCTGATAAAAGAAATGAAAAGAGAAAGATGACTTAATAGAGCCCATCTCAAATAAAATGTTTTTACTCCTCAATCATATCCCATGTCTATTCTATTTGAAGTTAGGACAAAGCAAAGACTACACTGATTTATGAAATGCTATAACTTGATCTATATATTAGAAATAGTAGCACACAGAAGCATAATCTCAAGGAGTCAGCTAAAATCTACTTACCATTAATCAAGTATTTCTACCTTCAAGTTTTGAGGCATAAACTAAATAGTTATTGCTAAACTAAATAGTTATTACTCAGTGATCTTTGAGAGGGTACAGATGTCCCTCAGGAAGCCTTGTGTCCCACTCTGCTCCAGGTAGTGATTACTGCATCAACCAGGCTTAGCCTAAACACATAGTGAGATATGAATCTACTGAAAGGCAGTGCCGAGGGAGAGGCTTTGATCCCTCAAAGAGGGCTTAAAGGGCTTTATATCCCAGCCCTTTGCAAGATTAGCAGGTAAAGCTTGAAAATGGCAAAGAACTAGACTGCATAGTGATACCTTGCAAAGTTAACTCCTCTGCATGAAGTTTCTTAGGGTGTCTGATTTCAGATTAAGTCAACATAGGCACAATGCCTAGTTATTATGCTCAGGCAAATGATTTGGATTTAATTATCTAGGTATTTTAGGATAAAATATAATTTATTGGGTTGGGGTTGTGGCTCAGGCATAGAGTGCTCCCCTAGCATGTGCCAGGCCCTGGGTTCGATCCTCAGCACCACATAGAAATAAATAAATAAAACAAAGGTATTGTGTCCAATTATAACTAAAAAATAAATATTTAAAAATACATACATATATGTAATATATAATTTATTAAAGAAAATAGGAAAGCAAAATTTGAAAAGTGTTCCCATGTATTTCTCTCATGTCATAAGCACAAAATACAGTCTTTGAAACTAATGTTCTCATACAATATATAGAAAATATAAATATACTGTAACTGAGATGTAACTCCATGTTATGTTCTGTAATTTTGAAAATCAAAATGCTTTAGAATTTTACATGGAATGATACAAAATGATGGATGTGGATTTTAAACAACAATATACACATCATGATTTAATAAAGTTAAGAGACTTGAAATTGTTTTACAGTAAGTTATTCTCAGGCATAGCTATGTAGTTACTCTTCAGTTCCTTAGTACTTCTAAGCAGTGTATTTCCTGGGTTATTTACATAAATTCCATTTTAACCCAAAAGTTTCATGATATGTTTTTTGTATTTTCTTCTTTAAATTTTAAATTTATCAATGAATCCATTCATTTGTTTATTTATCCAACAAATTTTACTGAGCACCTGTTTAGAGTCAAGCAAGATGCCCAGTACAGATTGTACAATGGTAGACTAAAATGGGTACTTTTTTTAAAAAAAATATTTATTTTTAAAGTTTTTTAGGTGGACACAATATCTTTTTTTTTTTTTTATTTTTTTTATTTTTTTTTATTGTTGGTTGTTCTAAACATTGAAAAACAATATCTTTATTTTACATTTATGTGGTGCTGAGGATCGAACCCAGTGCCTCGTGCATGCCGGGCGAGCACTCTACCACTGAGCCACAATCCCAGCCCCTAAAATGGGTACTTTTAATGAACTTTTTCAGGTACCATGCAGTGGAAAGACAGGTATTGCAACATTCACCTTCCGAGTGAATGAACAATTGCAAATTAAAATAATTTCTAATAAAAAATCATATGATTCAGTAAAAATATGAGGAAAATGTCTCACCATAAGAATTTGGCTATAAATTCTGAGTAAAAGATTCATTTGTTATTGTCAAGCACCTAGATATTCCTCTCTGGTTTTTGCAGATAAAAGTCTAAGAAAGGCAGGAAAAGGTTACAAAACTTAGAACATACCATATTGCAGGCAAGACAGGCAAAGCATAAAATCAAGAATAGTAAGTAAACAAAAATTTTATACATTGTGTTTCAAATGTGATAACAAGATTAAAAACCAAAAGTCATCTGAGAGAAGAAAATATGATCAATGCCCTTAAAATGTTTTCTTCCACCTAGTAGCTAACATGGCTTCTAAAAGAATCAGGGTTAATTTCCCAAATTTCCACTGTATTTTTTTTAACCCAGTGTTTAGAAGAGAGTTTTCAACATAGCCCTCATATAATGCTAAGTGAAATAAGCCAATCCCAATAAAACAAATGCCGAATGTTTTCTCTGATATAAGGATGCTGATTCGTAATGGGAATTGGCGGGGGGGGGGGGGCAGCATGGGAGGAATAGATGAACTTTAGATAGGGCAAAGAGAAGTGAGGGGAAAGGAGAGGGTATAGAGGTAGGAAAGGCAGTAGAAAAAGACAGATATCATTACCCTCAGTACATGTATGAAAACATGAATGGTGTGACTCTCCTTTGTGTACAACCAGAGACATGAAAAAATTGTGCACTATTTGTGTAATATGATTTAATTGCCTTCTGCTGTCATATATAACAAATTACAATAAATAAAATATTTTTAAAAATCCTCTCCATTTAAATGTGTTCCGGAGAGTTAGATAGCCTGCTCATATTTAAATGTTTCCAGCTTTTGATATAGGTACTGCTATCTCTCCTTTTCTCTCCAGGAGACTACGTGGTCATGACTGTCTACTTTGACCTGAGCAGAAGAATGGGGTATTTCACCATACAGACCTACATACCCTGCACGCTTATCGTGGTCCTGTCCTGGGTATCCTTCTGGATCAACAAGGATGCTGTTCCAGCCAGAACATCTTTAGGTGAGTTACATTTCTTTACGTTATGATGTCCCAAGATAAATACACAACGCAAGAAATCTTTATTTACTCTTTATTTGCTCAAAATTCAGCCAGCAATTATATACAAGTCCATTTGTTTCATCTTTTGGAAAGTTAGTACATTTTTTAAAAAAATAATGTTTATCTACAATTATTTTTAAATAATGGTTTTAAAAATAGTGTTCATTTTACAGTGATTGCAATGACATTAGAAGTAATTGGGTCTTTACAGAAGATCCACTGAACAGATTATTTTTTTGAAAAACACATTTATCTGTGAAATTTTGGACAAAAGACCAATTTTAAGATTATTTGAAGTTTTTTCCAAATATTATATATGATGATATTTACCTTAGATTCTCCATGTCTTTTTCTTCACCTGGAGAAGAAGTGTTAAATAGACTAAATCAAAACAAAACCACAGGAGCATTGGAGTCTGGGTTTATGAATGAAACTATAAAGACTTAACTAAGTATATAGCAAGGGAAATGTCATTATAAAACCACAATACCCTCTCATCATTCATCATCTATGTGAAACCTAGAACCACAGCTTTTGCCAACTCCCTGGCTAAAGAAGTGATATCAAGTGATAAGTAAGAACTGGGGATTTGAAGTCAAATCTGGACTTTCAGTCACACACACTATATAACCTTGGAATGCCCTTCCATCTCTACATCAGTTTCCTCACATGTAAAACATGCATCATTTCCAATTCCTAATTTGCAGGTTCTCTTTGGGTTATGTAAGGTATTCTATGCACAAAGCACATGGAACAGGGTGAAGACTCAGAAATCATAGCTACTATGTAGTCATTTTCTGACAAAATGATCTGTACTAGGTTATTAAACTGAGGGCAGAAGTGATTACTGGGAAGAAAGACAACATTTGCATATCTGCCCTCTTCCAAACCTAATTTAGTTTCCCATCTGTTTCGAAATGAAGTTATTTTGATTTTTCCTGTTATATGCAGTACTTTTTGTTTCAAGTCCTATTCAACAATTCAAATATCTCGTCTCATGCTTCATGCTGACACATACTCAGAATACACTGAGCCTAATACATTAGGACTAATGCTTGTCACTGAGTAGAAGGTGTTACATGACATGTTTACATGTCATTGCAAATCAGAATGTAAATGTCATGTGTCTCCAGTGTACTATCTGGCACATAGCTGGTACCTCAATGATCATTCAATTAATGTATATCTCATTGAATTGATGGGACAAATACATTGATAGATTCTAACTTACCCTCTTCCCCAATATATTTTAAGCTAAATATTTCAGTCAATCTCTCCTCTTGAAACCCGGGCTCTTGTTGGTCAAAATCCCTTTTATGGCCCCTTAGATAAATCATTTCAACCATTCATGAAATGTGTTCATTGGCTTATTAGCAGAAGGAATGGAGATGTGTGAGTTAAGAAATGGAGACCAGATTTTTCAGCAAGTTACTGATACATACTCCTATTTCTTGATCATTTTTGAATATGTCAATCATGTTTAATATGGTCTTTATTCCTTTGTTACTCTTTGAAACAACTGCAAGAAGTTGCAATGATAACAACACAAGTTATCATAAAAGTTTTTAGAGCTAAGCTAAGGAAGTAAAGATGCTGCAAGGTTAAACAGCTTATATAAAGTCACACAGCCAATAGGTAATAAAATTGCTCCTTGGCTAATGGAACATAGATTTGCTGTGGGTGGGCAGCTTTGCTGAAGGCTGGTCATGGTAAAGTCGAGAAGCCAGCCTGAGCCAATATCGCTCTTTTAACTTTGCTGTCTCACTCATCTAGATGACTGCTTTTTAAACTCAATTACATATTTATATAACTAGGACCACTTTTAAAAAGTAAGATTCTTTAATATAGTCCCCAAAGATGCTTATTTAAATTGTCAAGGGCATGGCCTGGGGCTTAGGATTAAAAAAAAAAATTAGTCGATTTTAATGTGAAGTCACCTTTTAGAACATTGCTCTAGATTTCATTGAGTTCCATTATCTTTTCCTGTGTTCATCATCGAGAGTTAAATGAGATGAGCATGAACACCTGCTAACTTTAACCTTATTGCCAAAGAACAGTCAGAGCCAAGTTCTTTATTGAGTGAGATAAATACGCTCACATTGCTCAGAGACACATGCTATTCTCTGTGCCTAGACCATCAGAACACAAGGAATGGTCATCCTGGAGCTTATAACACTTGACTGTAGCTACACAGCTGGTAGCTGATGAGGTTCGATTATGTTTCATTGATGATGCACAAAAAGAGGAAAATGCCAATTGGTATTTTTTACCAAAGTAACTGAGCTGGGCTAACATTCCTGAGAAGGATACTTCATGCCAAGACTGGAAGACTTGGTAAAACCTATGGGTATTTTCCATCTACCTCCAGTAAGAGAATTATGTCATTGTTTAGCAAAACTGGATTTTAAATGCTTTCTTACTGTTAGTGAGTGAATAGGGGAAACCTACTCTGTCATCACTTCTCATTCTTGATGTCATAGCCACTTTCTTTCCTGTGGCTTCAGGTGGCTCTCTAAAACTATCATATGGTGATTCTTCAAACTATACCTTAAATGGTTGGGATTGATTGACTTCCATGTAACCTAAATAGTATCTTCCAAATGCGCAAGATCAGTGTTTAATCTGCATGTTGGAATTGTTTTGCTTAAACTGTCACACACCAGGTTTTCTAAAATGAACTCATCTTTGGTATCTACCACAAACACGGAGGTTTTCACTTTTCATAAGTCAAGTGTAGCTTGAGGCCTGATCATGAAATGAAGGCCAAGGCTCCAATTTAATTTTTAAGTTTTCTACCAAAATGATGAGCTGTAATTGGGTATAATCAAGCATTTCAACTTTAATGAATGCATAGATAACCTAACTAATTTTTTTTTAGTTTAAAAAAATTAAACTAAATTTAATTTAGTTTAATTTTTTAAATTAAATTAAATTTAAAAATTTAATTTTAATTTAAAAAAAATAATTTTTTTTTTTAATTTACCAAACATTTACTGAGACTTTACGAAATATTGCTACTCTGTGTTGATAAGCTTTCTAACACTGTAACAAATACCCAAGAAAAATCAACTTCGGAGGAGGAAAGGTTTATTTTAGTCCCTGGTCACTAGAGCCCGTGCTCTGGTTGTGGCAGCGCAGTACACCCTGGCAGGAGTCCATGGCAGAGGAGGCCTGCTCACCTCACAGCAGCCAGGAACCAATGACAAAGACACCGAGGGGCAGTGGTCCAATATGCTCTTCAAGGGCACATCCTCAATGACCTAACTTCATTCTTCTGGATCCTACCTACTAAAGGTTCCACCATCTTCCAGTTGAGCCAAGCTGAAAAATCAAGCCCAGGCCCTTTGAAGGACATTTTACAGATCCAAACTGTATCACGTTTTATGCACATTATTTAATTTAATTTTAACCAAAGCTTCATGAAATTTCCCACTGCTTCCCCACCTTCCATCCTCTGCTGGTAGATGAGAAACTCGAACTTTCCTAAGATTTCTCCACAACAGCATGAAAGACCCCCAGGCCTATAATAATTCCTCAATCAAGAATTATTCACGGGCTGGGGATGTGGCTCAAGTGGTAGCACGCTCGCCTGGCATGCGGGCGGCCCGGGTTCGATCCTCAGCACCACATACAAACAAAGACGTGTGTCCGCCGAGAACTAAAAAAAAAAATAAATATTAAAAAAAATTCTCTCTATCTCTCACTCTCTCTCACTCTTTAAAAAAAAAAGAATTATTCACTAACACAGGCTCCAAACACTTTGAAGATGCTGCATATCATTCATATATTTCCATTTGTTCATGGAAATGAAACAGTGGTGGTTCAAAACATAGCATTTGAAGTCAGGCTGCCCAGGTTTGTATCTCATCTCTACCACTTACTAGCCTGGACAAGTGTTTATTCTTCCTGTGCTTTGTGTTTTTCAATTATGAATTAAAAGGTAATAGTTATAGGACACATCATAGGAAATTAGGAAGATTTTCTTGAATAATATATAAAGCACTTGACATAGCGCCTTGCCAAAGAAATTTGACTATCTCCTACATTTTGTGAATATGAATTACTATTCTCAAATGTAGGCTGAGCCTCTTGAGTCTTTCACATATATATTATCTATTGATACATTATGTCACATTTTTCATTCAACAAGTATTTATTGAATCCCAGCACTATGCTCTACTATGGGGTTACAATGGCCATCAAGAGAGATATCCATTGTCACAGAGTATAGAAAATGGAAAAAAGTGGATTATTAAATACTCAAGAGCAGTGTAATACAAGGGCTATGACATTTATAGTCACAGTTTGCTTGATCACTCTTCTCCTCTTCCAAAGTTTGATCTTTCCTCTGAAGTCTCCTGGGCAGCAATAACTGTTATCTGCCATCAATAAATGATGGAATCTTTGTGGGTTTTCTTCCCCCATGAGAAAAATCATAAAACCGGAGAAAATAAAGACACAGAGCTACTATTTTAGAAAAACCTAAAGACACTTCCAGTCACTACAAGATATGCAGAATTAGAATCCTAGAATGATAAAATCTAAGGTGGGCTTTCAAGGAGCTAGTTCAAATGATGGGGAAATCAATACCCTGATGGTTAAGATGGTGAACTAAGTTTCTACAGAAAGAGCCAGAATCAACTTGAATGCTGAAGCTGTGTTACCTTTTCCACTCACGACACAGGTTTTATAGAGGAAACTGTCACCTTTTCATGGTTGTTGCAGCAGGTTGTCTTAATTTTGTTCCCTGTCACAAAACAACTAGTGGAATGGGCTGGTTTGCTTGGAAAATGTTCGAGTATATATTCAGTATTTGTCACAATAATTGTTGCATAGTGAAAATATAATAATAATATTCATGGCGAGAGTGGATTAAGTTCAGTTATATCTCCTTTCCCACCACTGAAGTTGTCTATCAGAAGACACAAACCAAGTTTAGTCTCCTTGGTAACATAGTTACTCAATGTACTGATACTATAACACCATCAATTCTACTGTGCCTCTTTTTAGGTATCACGACTGTCCTGACAATGACCACCCTCAGCACCATTGCACGCAAATCTCTCCCCAAGGTCTCCTATGTCACAGCAATGGATCTCTTTGTGTCTGTTTGCTTCATTTTTGTCTTCTCTGCATTGGTGGAGTATGGCACCCTGCATTATTTTGTCAGCAATAGGAAACCAAGCAAGGACAAAGACAAAAAGAAGAAAAATCCTGTATGTATCATGTCCTATTGGTACCATAGAAATGTTTATACAGGAAGTTTACCTGGTTTTGTCTTAGTTTGGTTCTGTTACCTTATCTGCATGCTAAGGCTCAGCACTTTGGGCTTCAAGATGAAAACAGAATGTGTGAATTTGACCAGATCATAAATAGATCCATTTACGGCCTCTAGTTACTTGAGAGAGCCCTGATTCTCTTAGACTCCTTATGCAAATGTAATTACTTGATTTCTTCATTTTGTGAGGATTAAATCCATTTCTGAGTAATATACCATTTTCTAATTAGTATTACTCTCTAGGTTTTATTGGTTTTCACGTTTTTGCCCAACTTTAATATTTTTAAATTACTGATGTTTTAAGTTAAAACTTTCATCCAAGGTATTCCACTAAGAAGTCACAGGGTTTGAAGTTTCAAGATTCATAACAGTTTTGCAAATAATGTGTGTGTGCGCGTACGTGCGTGTGTGTAAATGGGTGTGGTGTGTGTGTGTGTGTGGTGTGTGTGTGTGTGTGTGTCTGTGTACCTGAGCATGCACATGTACATTGCCCGATGAGGACTTCTACTGATTGCATACTTAATATGCATCTCTTTGTTTTTAAAACAAATATCTCACTATTGTGTGGGCTAGTTACTAAGCCTCCATATTTTTATTTTTCTCTTCTTTTCTCATATAGAAGATAAATTTAATATTATTCAAAATAAATCTTCTGGTGCTGCTCTGAAAAATAAATATGGTAATGGAAGTAAACAAATGAAATACAAAAACATTACCAAAAAGTGCATGAAAATCCTTTGTTAGTAGTTGGTAATGATATATGCTCTTAATGGGCTATACAGTTACCAGCCTGAATTTCTTTCAGTGTCAATGTGATTTGGAAACAGGTAGGATGATTTCCACTTGCACTAAACATTAGACAAAATTATGAATGCCTAAACAATTCTCTTTTATTGTGGATGTTATGCTTTGTTAGGGGTAGGTAACCCACTTGAGTGCAGTATCTGGCTCTTAGAAGCTTGAATTAAAGTCCATTCCCTTCCAAGAGAGGGCAGAGGTAATGGCCCTTGCCTCCTTGACTTACAGCCTCTCCTGGTCCTCTGCTCTGAGGGCCTCCAGGGCCATGACAGTGGCTAACTATCTGACTCATGGACTTTGGGAGCTAAATTATGAGGGAATCTGACTGAAATAGGTCATAGCTTGATGCATCTCCAAAACTCAGGTGAATTTATGTAACTGGCTCATGTTTACTTGACCATGAGACTGCATAGCAGGTAAAGAAAGAAGCAACATTATTCTAGATGATTAGCAAAAATGGAAATGCTTATTTTTAATTTTCAAAATGTTATTATGCTTTATGCAGTCTTTCCTTCCCTAGCTGTTTTGCTACTCTCTACTTTTACATTTTTTTTCCTCTCCTGATTTTAATTTCCTTGTTGTGTTGTGTTTTTTTTGGTTTTTGTTTGTTCTCCCTCCTTCACTTTCCATTTCATTGTCCCCCAAGAGGATGGTTCCATTGACACTCAGAATTATTACCTGCCAGAGTCACAAGGATGGGAGGGCTGGCTCTCACATGAATTCTGAAGAGCCCTTTAGAAGTCCTTTGGCCTTCTCTATCAGCTGTGTCACTTCAGAGTGGATTTTGTTGCTGAGTTAGACACAGATGGATTCCTTTAACCAGGGTCTTGGAAATAACAGAAGAAATAAAGACGGTAGAAAGGACAGGGGATTTAAAAACCTGAGAAAGTGAAAACAAACAGGTAATTTTATTCATTTTTTTCCTTTTAAGCCAGTTTGTTAATTTACCAAAGCTACATGGTGAGTGAGCAGCCGAAATTTCATCCTTCTGTTTGATATACCCTTGGCTCATCGTATCAGGACTCACCAACACTAACATCAGGTCTCCTTGGTGACAATGAGAAGATAAATACATAGTATTTCCATATGGGGAAACTAGATAACAGGAAGTTTCCTCACAGCTGAACAACACTAGAATTTGCAGTCAGATAACTGGATTAATTTATTGAAAATTTCACTAATATCACAAAATTCTGTTTTCCAACTTTAGGCATATACTTTATCCCAAGCTCAGAAGATTCCTTCTGTGTTTATAATTTCAGTTCATTTTTACTTACTATGTTTTCAAAATGTATTTTTAATTTATCTTATTTTGTCTCTCTCTTTTTTTTTCTTTTCCACTTTCCTTCTTTTAATTAAAAAAAAAATGCTATTCTCTTTTCTGTCTACAAACCCAAAGCTTCTTCGGATGTTTTCCTTCAAGGTATAATGTTTTTGGAATGGAAATTCACTGCATGCCACTGCTGAATTTAACTATTAACGCTTCCATGGTGTTTTATTTATGTTTTTATAAGGAGAAATTTAAGCATTTTGCTAAAAATAACAGAAATATTTGTAGATTTCTAGAGTTGATTCTACAACTATTCACTAATTCTCATAGGTTTTGATCTTATATCAAGCTCAAAAGCTATCAGACCTATGAGAGATGTCATAAGTAAAGAAGGTTTTTTTACACATCAAAAACAAACCTGATCCTCTTTCCTTGGATGCACTTGAGATCCAATTCTACTGGCTACTTTTACCACATACAGACTCTTTCAAAAGTAAAGTTTAACTCTATAAACCTTAGTTTTAAGAATGGAATCTAAAATATTGTGTTTTTTAATATATAATCTGTGTTTTCCTTAACTATACTTTTGATTTTTTTTGAAGAATACTGCCTTTAAAAGGCTGAGTTTAAACATCCATACTTTCTTTCTAGGGTAGTTAATTATCAGGGCTGTTGGCTCTGAGAAATACTGCAATGAGATTTCTTTTCAACTCTAATATCTGATTTAGACACATTAGAATTTGTGTTTATATTATCCTAAAGCTAAGTCAGTCAAATTAACATTAAATAAGTCTTTTTGTCCTTTAGCAAATTTATTATTGGTCTTGCAGCAAAGGTTAGATTAGCATGTAGTCATTTGGCACTAGTTCCTCCTCATATGCTTAAACGTTCAACAGGCAGTTACGTCTTTTTTTTAAAAATTTTCATTCAGATGTAGGTCAATATTGCTGATAATTTTAAGCTTCTAACTGGTGAATGTCACACAAAGTTCTCTAAAAACATAAACTATCCCTCTGTGGCATAAAATCAGGAAACTTCTATTTTTACATATATATTAGCATTTTCTGTTAACATCATTTAATATACTTGCTCTGTGTAATGATTTCCTATTTGCCTTATAAGTAAGCATGACCTAAAATTTGATTTCAAAATAGATGCATTTTTATTTCTCTGTTTCACTCACATGCAATACCATTAGCCTTCATGTAACCAACCTCATATCTAATAATTAATAGAATAAGATTCCATGTAGTTTGATTTAGATCTTCAAATTTGAGTTCTTTTGGTGTTCAATATTCTTGCTCTAGCTATTAGCTTGGTGATATTATTTTCAGCTGCACTGCTTAAGCTCAAAATTTGAAATATGCAAATGTGTTCTCTTTCTAAGTTCAATTTTACCATTGTAGATCATGATGTCATAGCAATTTCCTGAGTACCCATTTTCAGATTCATCATCACATTGGTGACATTATGGAAAAATCGTCCAGGATTTCTCAAGTGTAACTAACTTGGATTCCTCTCCTTCCCTACCCTTGTCTCAGGCCCCTACCATTGATATCCGCCCAAGGTCAGCTACCATTCAAATGAACAATGCCACGCACCTTCAAGAGAGGGATGAAGAGTATGGGTACGAGTGTCTGGATGGCAAAGACTGTGCCAGCTTCTTCTGCTGCTTTGAAGACTGCCGCACAGGGGCCTGGAGACACGGGAGAATACATATCCGCATCGCCAAGATGGACTCCTATGCTCGCATCTTCTTCCCTACGGCTTTCTGCTTGTTCAATCTGGTGTATTGGGTCTCTTATCTTTACCTGTGAGGAGGTATGGGTTTTATTGATCTGGATCTTATTCACTGAATCTCATGGAAATAAGATGTCTCTTCTAAGTCCACTTCAAAAATCCCCTGTGTGGTTGATAATGACCTGAATTTGTTTCTATGTCCTAACCTGGTAAATCGTACAATGTCATATCGTTTGTGCCCAACTCTCCTTTGGTTAGTATAATTTGAACTTTAATGTTTGCTGTGTTTCATACCTGCAAGGCAAAGGAAAATTAGAGCAAGAATTGAAAACAAGCAAGGTATTTTTCATCTATAGCAACTGAAATAGTGAAAGCTCTTCCTGTTTATATTGACCAGAGTCCTTACTTGATTCATAAAACAGTTAGATACCAAGGTCCAAAACCGTATCCTAAGTTCACTTGGGGGCAAGTTGTGGTAAATTTGGACATAATGAACACAATGAACTCCCTCATTTGAGAATAATCACAAGCCTAGACTAGAAATCTCTTATTCCTTCATTCCATGATAGGAAGAAAATTTCCTCCACATCACATGTACAATGATGTAAATATTTCAATAATGTAGAATGCTTCAAGTTTAATGCATGCATCTCTTTAGAGCCAAAATAAATGGATTGAAGTTATCATCATAAAGTATTGTCCTTTATTTTGTGTCTTTGAGTTATAAGAGAATCATGAATGTAATTATAAGGATTTGGGTTTAGAATTGGAGGGAGGAATTTCCATTGCCTTCTCCCTCATGCATGAAGACTCAGTTTTTTTTAATTTCTTGTATGGCATATTAAAAAAACACTTTGAGTAAAATATAGGCTGAATAATTGACATTTGCCAACTCTAAATATGCCCAATTTCACAAATAAGCTATAAAGTAATCATATGTGCTTGCCGCTATTTTTTCTTCCAGTTAGAGTGATAGATCATAGCAGACTTACTCTCCATCTCAAGATCTGCTTCTAGTGACTGTTAGTGCCTTGTGGGCAGAATCCTTGTCATTTCTTCTTTGGGTCCTCAGTACCTTGCATAATATCTGACATATAGTCAGTGCTCAATAAATATGATTTGTGATGTGTTGCCTTCATAAACTTCTGGTGAATCTCTCCGTGCTGCCCCGGAACGAGTGATTCATCCATTCATGTTGGCACTGTCAAGTGATGCTTGATTTTGTAGACATAACCACAGAGGATCCAAAGATCTTTGGTTAGTATGTTCATCTTCAAAAATTTGTTTCAGGTAAAGTCTGCACTCCTTTTAAAATAGTATCTATGTTCTATATTTGTGTACAGAAATGACTAAGAGGGCATAGAGTTTATAATATTATTTTTTTCCAGGTTTGGGTGTGAGTCAATTCTGACCCCTTGAAAATTCTATTTGCAAATTTACGCAAGGCAAAAGCAAGATTCATACCTGACTGTCATTCAGAATGTAGAATTCTACGCTCTGTGAAAAAAGTATACAGAGATTAAACTGAAAACCAAATGAAAAGATGAATGGCCCACATGGAGGTCATTGAGCCTATGATTGTGGCCCCATGAGACTATATTGTAATGAAATGAAGTGATTGTCCCAGACGTCAAATGTGATGAATTGAGTCTTATATTTATATACTTACCTGAGTCCTTATTTTTCTAAAATAGTACCTTTTGTTGGTTCTTCTTTATGCAATCATTGCTCTAAGTCAGAGTTTAATAATAGCTAGTGTAACTTTATAGATAATCTGAAAAAAAGTAGAAAGAAGAGAGAGACTTTGTGAATATAAAACCATGTAAAGTCATCTGGATGAATCTTGAAATACATTTAGCTGCCAATTTTGCAACGTTTAATATATCAGTGCTCTCATATTTAACCTCAAACAAATGTAAATAGAATGAATTATTTTCTTGTTTTAAATCGTCAAGATATTAAATGTTGACTCTTTGGGAGAGTTGTTGGCAAATTTCAATGGTGAGAAACATGTTATTATTGTCAACTTGAAACGTGTTCTGTAATAGGGACACTAAAAAAAGCTAGCTTTCCAATGTGTGCATAGTATTGGCAACATGGATATATAGTATATATAATCTAATTCTTAATTATCAGCTGCGCCCTGTCTCTGTAATTGAAAGCCTTTTCACAAAAGGAATTGCCTAATGTGGACTTTTACAATAAAAATGCTGCATTCTAATCCTGGTAGCATCTCATTCGTCTGGTTGGACTGTTTTTCTTAAAGATTGTGACCTTTCTAGTTTCATTTCCCTAACTTCCTTTCTAATTGTGAGCTATGTGATGATGTTTTACATGGTGATTCTGTTGCCTTCAGAAGATTTAAGGTGCATTTGGAGCATATGATGAAGAAGGAATGTGGAAATGTGATGAAGTTAGTAAAGGTCAGGCTCATGCCTTGAGATTTTTGATGCAGTTAAGAATAGGGAGTTTGATGTTTGACAAAGTTGGGGTCCCAAACTCAGCCTTTAGGAATCTCTGTTTTCCCAACTATAAATTGGGTGTAACAATGACACCCCATAAAGTAACAATTAACAGATGCTCTCTCCCTTCTTCCAATATTGTCCACTCACCAATGAGCAGCTCCTTCTTCCTCCAACAAATCAACCCCACTGAAAGAATGAAGCAGTGGTCACAGATGTGCCTTAAGGTGACCCTGCCTCATGGCATTTCATTTTAAAGGAAGATTTGCCTTGCAACTCTTATTTTAAACTGTAAGTTTTCAACAATTGTTGAAAAAAAATGTTCCACATCACATTAGGTTTTATTTTTATTGATTGATTTTTTTTTACTTGTAGATGGACACATACCTTTATCTTATTTATTTTTATGTGGTGCTGAGGATCAAACCCAGTGCCTCACACATGCTAGGCAAATGCTCTACTACTAAGCCACAAACCCAGCCCCCAGATTAGTGATTTTTAAGGCTCAAATAACCCCAAAGAATTTCCCTTCTGAAACTCAGATATATATGGAGTTAATTATCCCTGCTTCAGCAACAGTGTTGTAGATTCCTGAAGTCCTTTGAAACTCTCCCAAGAATAAAATAATTCTTTAGAAAAGCTACTGTAACTGTTCTCTACCTGCCAATTTCTTGGCCCCTTGTGATTTCCTATATCTGATTTAAACACCCATTTCTCACTTTCTAGATATGTAGACATATAGTTTTCACCTAGGTTTTACCTGCTGTCTAATTTAATGCCTCATTTTTGGCTGAGTGTAGATTCATTGAATGGCCCTCATCCCTTTTTTGGTCTCAATATTATTCTGTTAGTTGCAATAACATTTGTCTGTGATGAAGGTCTAATTAAATGAACCAAATGATGTGATCTTTAGGGATTATGCAAAAAAAATAACTGCTCTCTCTAATGCTTTGTCATTGTGGATTGGAGTCAAATGTGTAGGAGAAAGGGGACAACCTAGAAGTTCTTCTGTAAAAATATGTCCTATTCCTAGAGTCTCTTTTCCTACTCAATAGACTCAACAGTCTGTACCTGGTCCATGAGGTTTTTCTGGTTTTACTGAATTACAATATGCATTTTATTTTTTCTTTTTCAATATTTGATGTGATTTTTGAGTGGCCTAGTCCTAATGTTTACCTCATCTGAGTATTTAACATTTGTACAATCCTCTTAGTAAACAAATTTTAAATGAACAATGCTGTGACAAGAATATGATATAAATAATTCACTACCCATTTGCATTTTAAATCAGGCTGTTTATATTCTGCCTCTGCTGAATAAATGTGCCCCACAATTTTTTTTTCTGTTATTTGTACATATTACGGGTCTGGAGTTAAGTCCTTTATCAAAGAAATTTTGATTAAGCACCTATAAATTTAATTCAAGAGAAAGCTTTCAGTAAACATACCATGGGCTCCAAATAAGGCACTGTGGATGCAGAAAGAGAACAATTTCAAGCCTTCTTTGCTTTAAAGTGTTTGTGATATGATAAAATACAAAAATAAATACATGTAACTATAATGGGGCTGCACATAATAGCTTTAGGTGGAAGAAAGCACTACATTAACCATAAGTGAAACCAGAAAAGTGTTTCTTATATAATGCAAAACATTCTGCCATATTTGAAGAGGTCCTATAACTTTCTTAATGTTTCCTTTATGACTACTATGAAAAACTTGTGAGAAACTTATAAAATGTGAAAAAAAAAATACAAGGAAGAAATATTAGTCAATCCATCAGCAAAAGTTAAGCACTAAAACTATCATATAACATTTTTTCTTCTCTACATATTAAACAGATAGATAAAATAGGTAGATATGATCAAATATAGATACGGATATGGACATATCTGATTTGTAGATTAATTTTTACACAAATTGTATGAATCTATGTAACATAAACATTTTCCAGAAGTCTATTATTATAATATACAGCTCTACCATAATTTAGGTAACCAGTCTTTTGCTTCTAAAAATCTGCTTTATTTCTTATTTTTGTTGTTATAAATAATGCTACAGTAAATGTCTTTGTCAGAAACTATAGCTACCACAGATTCATCCCTAAATATAGGCTTTGCTATACCAAAATGCATATGCATATTAGAATCCTGGCAGAAATCAGGTGGTACATTCCAGAAGATATTGAAGAACAATGAATGAAGGGATTACTCATGACAATGTAGGTCAGGTTAAGGTCCACCAGTAAAAGGATGGTACAGTATTATGTGCCTACCAATACTGGAAAGCCATCATCACCTAAGCTAATTTCCTTATGGCTACTGTACTAAATTTTCATTAGTATTTTGCCTTAGACCAATACAAATTATCATATCTGAAGGTTGAAAGTCTCACTGGATACAGTCAAGATGCAGGCAGGGCTGCAATTTTTCCCCCAGAGCATTCTTTTTTCTTTTGTTTTTTTCCATGTCCTATAGGTCTCTGTATTCCTCAGCTAAAACCTTTCTTCCAAATTCAAAGCAAGCCACTGCATCGCTCAAATGTTTCCTTCATCACATCTCTAGCTCTGACCTCTTGCCTCCCACTTATGTGGGCTCTTGTAATTACATTGAGACTGTATAATCCAGGATAATCTCCTCATCTCCAGATTCTTAATTCATATCTGCAATGTTCCTTTTACCACATAAGTTATTTACCATTCACATGGATTAGTTTATGGACATCTTTAGGGGGCCATCATTCTACCTAGCACATCACCCTAATCATATAAACAAAGAGAAAGGATAAGCTACAGTACTTTAGAGAAAGCAGTAAAAATAATAGTTTTTGATCAGGGAGGAGTAAGCACCCAAAATAAGCTCCTGGGATTAAGGGAGGACTAAGCACCCAGAACTCTTTCTTCTTCTACCCGACAAATACCAAATTGTTCTAGGCAAATGGAAAGTAAAGGGCAAGGAAATCCAAATAATATGGGCCAGAAGGGTCACCCTCTGGTGGGGGACAGATGATAAAGAGGAATGGACAATGGATCTAGAGAAATTAATGGAAATGTACTAGCAAAATTCTCCACACATTTGCACATGTGGTACAAAAGAAAGTTTATTTATTTGCAGATTGGTCATTAGGAATTCTGAAGAAAAAGGAGAAATCTAAGTTTTTCAAGTGGTAATCCTACCCCCATGAGTGAAAAAGGTAACTTAAAGAATATTAGAGTCTCATATATTTTATGCTGGGTAATATGTTCAACATGAAAATCTTTCCAACTGGCTTTATAAGCCCTTTATGGAGTTATATTCTGGGAGTTAATGTGGGTTAATAGTCTTGGCCCTTTGGTTTGTCCCACAGCAAGAGTGCCCAGGCAGTCACTGATTTATAGGCCCAAGCAGCCTGGAGCTGCTTCAGGAATATGGGGAACTTCTGAGCCCATATTTTTCCTCTGCTATTGCAAAACGAAAACGAGACAGAGCTTCTGAGTCACTGGGTGCCCAAGGGTACAATTCTATACTGGGTTAAGACTAAAAATAGCAGAGCTACAGTTCTATTTCTGTAAACACAATGACTATAAGGACAATTAAAACTTAATTGGCACAACATAACCTGAAGTGAAAACAGTTGAACCACTTGGCAAACAGACTGGTTTGTTTTGTGTTTTCCATTAACATTTTCAGACTGGATAACTGGAACCTGTGAGTCCTACTGTAAAACGCATGCACCAGGCATACCTATGCATTTGCAAAATACATGTCTTATGCAAACTTTCTTATAAAGCTATAAGCTCCTTAAAGTGGGGCTACACATGTTACCACTGAATTATTGCCTATCACAGTGCCTGATTCATAATAGGAATGTGAGGAATGAAGTTTTCAAAATAAAATCTGTAAAACTGATGCCATGGAACTAATATTCATAAAATTTTCATTTAAAATACACATTATGAGGCTTGGTTCAGATCAGTAGCTGAGTGCTTGATTAGTATCCATTAAACCCTGGGATCAATCTCCACCATAAAAAATAAAATAAAATACCCATGGTATTTTTTGATTTTTGAAAGAGGAGTTAAAGTATACATATATATATTTTTTTCACCAAAATCTTCCAAAGACACAGCTTCACAATTCCTCCACCAGAAGAACACACTAACTTGATGAAAAAATCAGAATTAAACATTTTCATTAATCTAACAATGTCATCAAAGCTGAAAAACAATAAAATTTCAAAAAACTTAACGAGGTTTATTCACCAACTATCCATCAATGACAGCCAGTAGATTCAATTAGTTTTGGGGAGAAACAAAAAAAAATCTTTCCTTAAATGGGATTTTGTAAGGCACAATCTGCCCAACAGGAGGAAAAACTCAAAATGCTTTCTTTGTTGACAAGTTGACAATCATTCATGATTGTTTTAATTGACTTCTTCAAGTCCTCAACAAAACCCACTTTGAGAGCTTCTTGTTTTGCATGCATATAATTCTCACAACTAATCAGAGGTGGGAAAATAAAGAGATAGTTTTCTAATTATCATTTTGTATGACTTCATCTTTCAATAACTTTTATAAACTTTTATAAACTTTTATAAATTTTTAATAAATTGTATGAAATCTATCACCTTTATGACTCAGAGGTGAGAGTTGGAGCAAGACCAAAGGCAAGCTATAGCCAGTACGAGAATGAAGAGCACAATGGGCAAGGAAGCTGGCTATTGGCCCTCCTCTGGTCATTGCTTCATTACTATGAACAGTCATTTAGCTGGAATGTAACAATTTCATTATATTTGGGCTTTAATTTTTTTTTTTAGCAAAATGCACATGAACCTTCATATTACTACTAGCAGTAATTTGAGCACCTGTATTTATATTGGCTTCTGTAATAAAAAATACCTTTCAAATTTTTCCAAATGTTCTTTTGTTTATGTCAAAGTGTTATCATAGTAGGCTGTTTACAACTTGTGCTCAATAATTGTCTGCTTTAGTAACAATAAGAACTACCAAAATTTATATACAAAGAAGCTCCATCTCTACATTTTTTTAGAGAGAGAGAGAGAGAGAGAGAGAGAGAGAGAGAGAGAGAGAGAAAGAGAATTTTTTAATATTTACTTTTTAATTTTCGGTGGACACAACAATTTTATTTTATTTTTATGTGGTGCTGAGGATCGAACCCAGGGCCTGCACATGCCAGGCAAGCGCGTTACCGCTTGAGCCACATCCCCAGCCCTCTACATTTGATACATTTTCCCAGTAAGTTTTACTTCATAGAAATTAATGCTTTATGACAAATGACAAGATTATTCCACTTTTCTCCAAAAAAATTTTCCCTTGTGTATGTCTTTATATGATTCAATAAAAAGAACAAAACAAAAATATAAAAAAATTAAAAATATAAAATGCACAAGAAGGAGAAAAAGATTTCTTAGTCAACATAAAAAATACTAAAGATAATGTGAGCAAGTGATAAACTGGATTATATTAAAATTAAAAACTACTTTTATTTACACACTTTTTATTCAAAACTTCTTCAATTATTTCATTCTTTAATTTACACATTTAAGAAAGCAATCCAAGGGTGTTTAGGAGTTATTTGCAATACTTGTATTTAACAAAGGATTCATTAAATTTGCCTAAAGATTTTCTACAGTTCAATAAGAAAAAGATAACTGAACAAAAATGTGCAAAAAGTGAAAGATCATTTCCAAATGAAGACACCAAACTAATATATTGAGTGATCATGAGAGTGCAAATAAAAATCAATGTCACTATACAACCATTGAAACTAGTTTAAGAGAAAATTTCAAGCACTTGCAAGGATATGAAACAACAACAAGTCTCAGGTTCTGTTGTAGAAATATAAATTTTACAATAAAATTTAAAAAATCTGTTGGAAGAATCTATTAAAAATAAACTGCACACACCTAATGACATACCAGTTCTTCTCTTCAAAGTATAGAAATGTCCACACTCATACAGAACACACTCAAATGCTTATAAGAATACTCTATTCGAACACTTGGTTTTTTGTTTGTTTGTTTTTTTATAATTCAAAGCATGAAATTCCTCCATTGCAAATCAAATGGGGAATGGATTTAAAAAAAGGAAACTATGACATAGTCTAACAATAAATAGCATACCAATCTACAACAACTTGATGAACTACAAGTAACAATATGAATGCATTGGAAATTGATGTAACAGACCTAGAGTATGTAGAACAACATAGCAAACTCAAGAGAGGACATTAGACATTATTCTTCCAATAAACTGGATATTTTTGTTCCTACTAAATCCACAGGTTGAACACTCATCATAATGCAATGGTATTTGG